AGTCCAACAAAATATAAATATACCCACAACTAACTCTTTCGATGCACTAGACGTGGATGACGAGTACACAGAATTTGTCACCTTTCGTCAAAATAATAAAAAAACTATCAGAATCACTTCCCGATTTATCAGACTCATTTATATCAACGACTAATACACACTCTCATTCATTAAATTTACAAAAAACCTCTCGCAGCCTACCAGACGACGACTTAAGAGATTGCTTAATCATACAAGAGTTAAAAGAAGAAGTTTCAAGGTTACGTACAGAACTAATTATAGCGAACAAAGGGGTGGACAATTTAAACATAACGAATAGAAATCTTACCAAAAAAAATTTTAGAACAAGAAAAAATTATAAAACTCTACAAAAGTGTTAGTATCGACGACGTAAAATTGAGAAAAACAGCCAATAATTCCTATAACTCAACACCTTTAACTAAACCCAAAAAACAAAACATGAAACGTTTAGTCAGATACACGCCATAGTTTTGAATGTGTTGAATGAATAACGCTTAAAGAAACACTGCCTGCTATTCAACCTGAAAAATATGTAAATGATTATGTCGAATCCCTAACCTCAAAAATTAAGACTAGTGAAGAAACTTGCGAATATCCACCGAAAAGGAAACTATGCGTCATTAGTAGCATTCGTAGCAATAAAATGGCGACTACAATGAGAAACCACTTCGAAACGCAAAACACCTGCCGCTACCGCACAACAGGAGGTGGTATTAAACTAACTGTTAAGTGGTGTACAAACAAAACTTGTGAATTACACCCTTAATGATTTTTGTATTTTAATTGTAGGTGAAACTGATTTTGATGTTTACAAAATTATAATGATTTAGTTATGAATATAAGGAAGACTCTTTTGACCGTTCAGCACACAAACATCTTGATATGTCTGCCTACTTTTAAATTTTGTTACCACTCTAATATTTATAATAGACGAATTGAAGTTTTTATTCTTCGAACCTTTAATAACCTTTTATACTCTGATAATATTAATTTTGAATATTATTAAATTTTAGACTCCAACAAAAATTTAGAATATTCTCAGGATATAATGAAAAATTAAATAAACGCGGATTAAAGACAATTTTGCATGACATAAACGAATTTATAAGAACATTTGATGATGTAACATTGAGTGAAAATCGACGAATAGAAGATATCTCTGATCTAAAAGTAATAACGTTTCAAGAAAATACGAGTAAAATTGATACAGAGAAGTCTTCCTTTCGCCCCAAAATGCTATAAAATTATGTGTCAAAACATTCAATGTCTTTCTAACAAAATTGACGACTTAAACTTATTGTTAATGGAAGTTAAAATAGATATATTAATCGTAAGTGAACATTGGTTATTACCTATTAACTATCATTTTTACACATTAGAGGGCTACGAACTACGTGCGAAGTATTTGCGGCAAAAACATATACATGGTGGGGTTGGTATCTTTGTTAGAGAAAACATGAAAACTAAAGAACGTTTAGACATTCAACTATTCACAGTAGAATTTATCGTGGAATTGTGTGCGTTGGAGATTACTGAATCTAACTTATTGATTGTGGCCATGTATCGCTGTGAGAGAGAAATAGAAACATTTTTCGTTCAAATGCAAGCTTTACTAAACCACTTATCCAAACATGCTCATAATAAAAAATTATCATAGCGGGCGATATAAATATAGACATCACAAGGGATACAAAAATATCTAGTAGACTTATCAATCTTTTAAAATCATTCGGGTTGCGCTGTCTTATAGAAACCCCTACACGTGAGACCCAAAACAGTAAATCATGCATTGACCAAATTATAATTTCTAAAAATACATACATGACGGCTTTTGTACAAAATTATGACTTATCAGATCATCACGCATTAATTGGACAAATACCAGTGGAAGAGAACATAAATAGAAATAATATTACTTATAAAATAAACAAACGACTTTTTAATGAGAATAATATGAAAAAATTCAGAATTAAACTAAATGAAATTAATTGGTGTAATATAATGACCCCAACGAGTGATATAAATACAAACTATAGTAAATTTCAGAACCAAATTAAGTCTATTTTAGATGAACATATTCCACGAAAATTGTATAAATTACAAAATAAAGAAAAGACAAGATGGACAACAAAAGGCATTAAAAATGTTGCTACAACAATCGTGTCTTACGTTATCTTACTAACTACTATAATAATGAAGCCTTAAAATCTTATACAAAAATCTACAGCAAAATACTAAAAAGAATAATAGTCACAGAAAAAAGAAAATCTTACATAAAAAGAGTGCAAACGTCACGTAATAAATATAAAACCATGTGGGCTATGATAAATGAAAAAACCAAAAAAGTTAAAAGTGTAAAATATGAAAACATTTGTTTACGTAATGACGTTTTAAATGTAACATCTCCAAATAAAGTTGCAAACTTATTCAATAATTATTATATAACTATAAGTTCAAATAACTGCTCCTCTCTAAATAAGCGGTCATCTCGAGTATCCTTGCCAAATTCACTATATCTTAGTAGTGTTACAGAAGCTGATGTAAAAAGAGCGCTAATGGGACTAAAAAGAAACAATTTTTGCGGATATGATGAAATCCCAGCTACTCTACTCATATATTGCGTAGATGAGTTTGTAAAGCCCTTAACTTTTCTTATAAATCAATCGTATAAGGATAGCGTTTTTCCGGAAAATCTAAAATTAGCCGTGATAAAACCTATTTTTAAAAAAGGCGATAAAACTGTTGTATCCAATTATCGCCCCATTGCATTACTGTATGTAATTTCAAAAATTTTTGAGAAAATAATTTGTAATAAAATATATAACTTTTTTGAAAAACACAGCATTTTTAGTAAATATCAGCATGGTTTCCGAAAAGATCATTCTACTACGTCCGCTGTATTTGACTGCATCTTAGAAATTCAGAATGCTCTAAATGAAGGAAGATGTGCTATAGCTATTTTTATGGACATGTCCAAAGCATACGATCGCGTTTTGCATGGACCCTTGATGGAACAGCTATATTCGCTAGAGATATACGAGGGAAACCACACGAGTGGCTCTCTTCTTATCTTGCGAATAGAAAACAGTACGTGCAGGTATCACATATAAATGAATATCGAAAACTGATAAATGACATAAATTCGTCCACTGCAATAGTAACAGGTTCTATACCGCAGGGTAGTGTCCTAGGATGCTTGTTGTTTTCTATTTACATCAACTAACTTCCTTCAGTAGCACCACATAGAGTCGTTTTGTTTGCAGATGACGCGACAGTTATAATTACTTGTAAACAAAAAATTCTAAGTAGTTTGCAGGAAAAAATAACCCAATGCCTTAGAAAAATTGTGAATGAATTAGAGGTTTTAGGCTTATTACTAAATTTTGAAAAGACCAATATAATGCAGTTTCGTCCATATCAGAGATCAGAAGTCCCTCTCGCTATATCTTACCAAGGTATAAATATTGAGGAAGTTCGCACATTTTCATTCCTCGGGATAATAATAGACTCAACTTTTTCATGAAAAACTCATGTAGAAAGAGTTGTGAGCAAGTTGAGCAGTTTTTGCTATGCCCTGCGTGAGCTACGTGTGTCATACGAGGGGTGCATGGCAATTTTTCCAGAGTGTTTTATTACAAAAACTTCCATTCTTTACATCGGCATGCAATTTGAAAACACGGAATTGCCCTTTAATTTTTTTCAGGTTTTCAGAACCCTTTGATCATCTTGGGCCGCTGCGGGGTGCATGCCATCAATTATTAGAGCTTCAATTTGCTTGAACTTCCGTATATTACAATGGCATGCAGTATACTATCACGGAAAAACACGAAAATTCGCTACACAACGAAAAGCGCTTTTTCTCATGAAGAGGACGCGCGAGGGGGGGGGGGGCGCTAAAGCCCCGACAATCTTTGATATTTTTAGGGTTAGTTATCAAGCCTTAAAAAGGCATGCACGACAAAATCGTGGAACGTCACCTGTCACCAGCTCCCGGTCTATTATGGTAACAAGTTTCGACATAAATTGCTTAGGTACCGAGGTAATCCTGCCGAATATTCGGTTCGGTAAAAATTTTACCGAACGTTCGGCCGAATATTATTCGTATTCGGTGAAATCCATATTCGGCCCATCCCTAAAAATTATCGGAAAATTATTAAATAGTAATAAGGTTATTTGTGAAAACTTTTGCGTATTTAAAATAGGTACTTTAAAAAATTGACGTATAGCATGAGCGCCTAAGGATTCACCAAAAGTTTTTTTTTAAATATATTATTTCGGTGGCAGGTTGTATAATACCCACAAGACGTTTGTACTTAGATAAAGGGATAATCTAATTAAAGTCATTTAAAGGGACGCAAGTTCCTCATCGGCACATCCTCTATAACAACCTTGAGATTCTTTAGGCCACTTCAAAATATAAAATAATTAAACTTTAATAAAGATAAAGAGTACCCAACAAAATTGAAAACTAAAAAAATTACAACATATTTTCCACCTTTATAAGAAAGAAGCAAAACGACAATTTCTCTTTATAAGAAGAGAGCAAAACGACAATTTCATAAGCAAAGATATAATTAATATATTAGATTTCATGCTTATGTTAAAAAGCTTATTAAAATATTCTTATTTATTTTTTGCAACGAAAAATAATGAAATTATTGGTTATATAGTTGATTTTCTACTATCTTACTATACTACCTAATACTATCTAAATATTATCTTACGATTACAATAATACTTTACTAATAATACTTTATACTTACCACGTGCTCCGCCGTGAAGGAAATCATCGTGAGGAAACCTGCATGTCAGAGAAATAAGAAAAAAATATTTCCAAGACATGTGAAGTTCGCCTACACGCACTGGGGCAGCGCGGCGGACACTTCCTTGCCCTAAAACCCTCTCAGAGATGAGAGGAGGCCTGTGCCCAGCAGTGGGACGTATATAGGCTGTAACTTTACTTTACTTTACTTTTGTAGATTCAATCGTCTTGTCAGGACGTCGGTCGCGCGGCATTGGGCACACTTTAGAAAGAAGAAGTCCAGACTGTTGGTGCGAGGCCGCTCTGTATCTGACACCGGATTATGTTCCATCGTCGACCGCGGTAAATACTTTCATAATATTGCTTCTATTTCAGATCGCCATTTTTAAACCAACTTCAAAAAGGAGAAGGTTCCCAATTCGACTGTATTTTTTTTAAATGTTTGTTATTACCTCAGACCTTTTTTTAATTGAAAGCTGGTGCTCCATAAGTAATCCCAAAGTTGATTGAGAACTGACCAGTAGTATTTCAGTTATCCTTAATAATGCGTATTTAATTGACTTCGACTACGTTGATGATGTTCTCATTTTATTTGTATTGAAGTCGGTTGTATTTTTTTTTTTAATTTTACCACTTGTTAATATACAACACTCCATGCGATGATCAATCATCTCATGCTAAAATAACAAGGCTTTAGTTACAGGTGCATTTGTCATATAATCAATAAGACTGAATGCCACACAGTCCGTATTTTTTCTTCTTTTTTTTTACAAACGTTACCCCACACTAGTATTTTCTCCTATACGGTAGAGGCAGTTTACAAACATAAACTCCACAAGGACAATCATCCAAACCCGGAACAATTATTTGTAGGCAATACAAATACTTGTTCCGGCGGGATTTGAACCTGTGGCTCCCAGCGTGGCAGCTCATTGCTAAGACCACGGTACCGCCAATTACTCAGTCTATAAACTTCAGACCAAAAAATTGAAGCGTTGCTGCATGGAGCCTCCATCCAAATGGGTTAGATGGTTGTATCTATTATCCAGATCTAATCCTAAGCTAAGCTAGACTTAGTAATTTAAGACTAATTTTTCAAGTAAGTTTTTTTCACAATTTGCGAATTGGGGTAACGGATTCCCTTACGCTGACACCGTACCACATTTAATTATATCTATACCTACACAGTTCTAAAAATTAAAGTACCTATATTGGTGTCGATTTAAATTACAATACAAAAATTAATATACACAGCGTAATAATATAACTAAGGTTTAAATTGAATTGTTATTATAAAATTGCTTGCGCCAAACACGGATTGTAAAAACTTTTTTTAATTTAATTTGTATTTATCTAATTAAAACGAACCCAAGATACAGGAGAAAATCTTATAAGTGGGGGATAAATAAAAAATGTTACATACATGTCTTTTACAACGATGTTGTAATGGAAAAACATGACTATTATATTACAAATATCGCAGTGGCCAGCGTAAGGGGCCCTTATCGTCATGTGCGTCGTAAGAGGCGTCAGAGAGAAATAAAACGGGAGATGGGCAGGACCATCGTTCTGATAATTACTCAAAATAATAAAAAAGCTACGTAAATCAATACGCCGACAGAGGTAAACAGGGCAAATTAGGCTATCTATGGGAGAGGCCTACGTCCTATGGACTTATGATAGGCTGCAATGAATAAATTATGTAAAAACTAAAAATATGTATTAATAAATCTATTGATAAACTTTCAGAAGTAAACTATTTGGACATCGGCTCGGGAAAACACCACTCGTTGCTGGTTTTGGATGGTGCTCGTCACTATACCGTCCCTGCGTTATTCGTGACGTAAGTATTGCTTTTGTTTATTTGTTTGTTAAATGGGGCGTTTCTTCATCTCATAAAGGCTATAATTTTATTTCATTTTTATAAGAACCTTTTATTTCTTAAATGTAATTAATACTTTATTTAATGAATACGATTAGTTTATTTTGATATAATTTACTATATATATATATATATATATATATATATATATATATATATATATATATATATATATATAGACTGGTGCAAAGCCGTGATAGTCCCAGTATATAAAGGAAGAGGGTCGCAGCAGGACTGTAAAAATTACCGTGGCATCAGCCTTCTTAGCATTGTGGGAAAACTGTATGCTAAGGTACTGATTGAAAGGGTCATGAAAGAAACTGATGGAAAAATTTGGGATGTGCAAGCGGGATTTAGAAAGGGAATGGGATGTACAGATCAAGTCTTTTCTTAAGTCATGGACTTGGAAAAGGCCTATGACAGAGTGGATAGGGATTTGCTATGGCAAACACTGAACTCATTTGGGTTGAGCGCTGGCTTGATACAGGCATTGGAGTCTCTTTATAGGGACTCTAGTGCTTGTGTTAGGATCAACGGGGTCTACTCGGACTGGTTTGACATCCATAAAGGTGTCAGACAGGGCTGTGTGGCTTCCCCGTGGCTGTTCAACCTATTTATGGACAGTTGTTTGCAAAATTTGAAAGTTGAAGAATGCGGATTAAGAATGGGTGAGTTAACCGTCAAATGCCTTTTGTACGCCGATGATCAAGTTATTCTTGCGTCGTCGGCGGCCGAGTTGCAAATGATGGTTACATTAATGAACGGATCATTAAAAGAAAGGGGTATGAAAGTGAACGCAAGTAAGACGAAGGTTATGGTTTTTGAAATAGAAGAAAGTAAAACGATTTGTGAAATAAGAATAGAAGGGGAGTTGATCGAGCAAGTAGATGAGTTTGTATATTTGGGCTGCGTATTTAGGGGGGATGGGAGATATGATAAGGATATAGAACGACGAGTGAATGCGGGAAATAGAGTAAATGGGGCCTTGCACTCTATTGTGAAGAGTCAAAATGTGTCGAAAAAGGCACGTATGGCAATTCACAATGCTGTGTTGGTCCCTACTTTAACGTATGGTAGTGAAAGTTGGGTGTGGCAGAAGAAGCACGAGTGTAGAATAAACGCAGTAGAAATGCGGTCGTTAAGGAGTATGTTAGGGCTGAATCCGAATGACAGGGTAAGAAATTGTGTAATAAGAGAAGAGTGTGGTTTGCAAGATGATGTTGTGACCAGGATTAAGAAATGAATGCTTCGGTGGTTTGGTCATGTTTAAAGAATGAATGAGGAAAGAGTGACAAAGAAAATTTATGGTGCAGAAGTGAATGGCAGAGTCGGGAAGGGACGTCCTAGGCGAAAATTTATCGACCAAATTGGCGATTTATTGAAAACGGGCCAAATTAGGAGTACCCTTAACCAACGAGCATGTATGCGTAGGTGTATGGATGTGAAGGAGGCAAGAAAGGTGTGTCAGGATCGTGCCAAATGGAAGTCTGTAGTCTCTGCCTACCCCTCTGGGTGACAGGCGTGAGTGTTTATATATTTATATATATGACAAATGATAACCTTAGTACACAGAATATACACCGTACACCTTAGTACACACCCATGATGAGCCGCCGCTAATGCCTTAGGAGGCTCAATAGATTCAAAGAAATCATTATTTTTATGAAGATGAAAAGTTTATTATATATATATATATATATATATATATATATATATATATATATATATATATATATACTATATACATACACAACACCTTGCCCGGCGGGAGATCTCCCCTTTTCCTTTCACGGCCACAGTGGTAACCACTCGACGTGATCTGAACACGCAACCAACAAACAACCTTCGGAAGCTTCAAGCTTCATAATCGTCATAGAATACCCCACCCATTCGCTCCCGAGCAGATATCGTCTGCAGTCTTCATATCCTGTAAGCCATCAGCTTCACAAGATTCATCGCAGCATTGGAATAATAATGCTTCCTGTTTCTTCAAGCTACTCTCTGCGCTATACAGTGTTCGGCACGGCTCTGAGCCTTACTGCTCGCCTCTGCTTTACGGCACTTTCGCAGATTACTTGCCTTCTTCTCGACTCACCGCAGACTACAAGGCAATCTCCTGGCACTTGCACATTCGTCGGCAACGAGGATGCACTACCCACCTTTGGTCTGAGCAGGGGGGTGATGTGGCGACGCTGACGTCGCGCCGCAAGCGAAACACACCGAAGCCTAAATCACGCTATCAACATTCCGAATCATAAACAGTATATATAGAACATCTCCGAACTATCACACGGAGCGTTGGCCGTTCCCCGGGCAGAACACCTTGCTCGGCGGGAGATCTCCCCTTTCCCTACCACGGCCACACCCTTTAACCAACGAGCATGTATGCGTAGGTATATGGATGTGGAAGAGGCGAGAGAGGTATGTCAGGATCGTGCTAAATGGAAGTCTGTAGTCTCTGCCTACCCTTCTGGGTGACAGGCGTGTTTTTTTTTGTTTTTATTATTGTAATCGCATAATTGTTAAATACAATTATTTTTATAGTTTTCTATATAAGATTATATTTAGATAGTATTAGTTTAAGATAGTAGAAAATCAATTCGGCAACAAGTCTGCTGACCGGCGACCGAGAGGGATGTAAAAGATGCGATAGAGTTGGTACTACGATCTCCTATCCAAAGCCAAGCGTAGCGGTTAATGAAAATCTTCCTCACAGTCAAATACACTTCTTCCTCTTACTCACCATTAGCCCCGACCTCATGCCCTTCACCTTCGCTTTATATGGGCCGATGGTGAGAGAGATGTATCAGAAGTATGTTTAAGCCAAGAGAAGAAAAACTTAGGCATTCCATCTTAGTTCCCAAATCGTTGATTTCTTACGTTGATTGCAGCTGTCCGCTGGGACTCGACAGTCGAAATAGGTGTCTATTGTTTGTTATTTACATGCTACATGCATATTTTTCAGCAATGTCTTAAATTGTAATATCATAATATCGTGATCTCTTCTTTTCTTTCACTTCTAGTTTTGAATACCAACTGCTGCGTCTTGAGTTCTGGGTTCGAATCACAGCGAAAGCTATTATTTTAACTGGGGGAGTGTCACCCCAGTATAAAGTTTTCTTGCAGTTATTCTTTTTTTTTATAGAATAAGAGTGGCAAACGAGCACACAGTCCACCTGATGGTAAGTGGATGCTGTGGCCCATAGACAACTACATTTATCTTCGATTAAAAATGCAGATGCGTTGTCACCCGTGAGGACTAAAATGGAATGTCTCGTTTCCAGTAAAAAGGTTCTCCAGCTCTCTACACTTACCCTACACAACACAGCAGCATCAGGCCGCTATTTAATGCTGGTATTCTGTCAGAGCGTAGTACTTTCTCCGGTCGTTCGTGCTACAACCGTAATAAAGCTGCAGCATGACTCTACCACGTATATTCTTTTTTTAATTCAACTGTACGGTAAAGCAAAAGCCATAAGACCATTTAATTTATAATGTTATTCTGACTAGCTCAATTCTGGTAAAATATGATATATGAAAAGCCTTCGCACGACCAATGATCACTTCTGTGCTGATCGGTTGGTTTATTCTATTGCAGTTATTTTCCTTACGAATTTTATCATGCAGAAAATCTTCGAGTTTTACATACAGTTATTGTTACAGCCTATTAAATTCCACTGCTTGACATAGGCCTCCGCTATAGGTTGGTTCATAGAGGAAATATTTGCAATAGTTGCCACAGTTGAGTTGGCAACCGCAATTTTTTTAATTTTTAGTCGTTATTAAGAAGACATTGCTGCCCATCTTCTGATTCTTACATAGCATAGTATAATTATATGTTAGTTTATAAATTTTAATTGTATCGATGTATGTTTATATATGTGCCTTTGTAGCTGCGAAAACAAATGCTAGCCAAATTAGTTTCAGCTTTCAGCTATGCACTGGTAATTACACTTCTGATTCAAGTTTTTGAGGAACACTCGAGCAGAATTATATGAACCGCAGTTTCCGTTTTTTTTTTTTGGAATAAGGGTGACAAACCGGTACACATTGCACCTGATGGTAAGTGGATGATGTGGCTATAGACATCTACATCTATCCTCTATTAAGAATCAAAACGCAGATGCGTTGCCATCCCTGAGGACTAAGTTTCATCTTCTTCGTTTTCAGTAAAAAAGTGTCTCCGTTTCTCTACAGTCACCGTACGAAACACAGTAGCGTTGAGCTGCTAATTTACGCTGATATTCTGTGAGACCATGATCCTTACCCGGATGAGCCCACCCATTAGTGCTACAACCATAATATAGCTACAGCATGGCTCTACCGCGTTAAAAATAAATGCATGAATGAAGGAATGCTCCCCACCCCATCGATTGTAATTATAAAGCATACAAGTTGCTATCTGTATTTCGTAACGTAGTGCAATGTTGCGTAGCCTTTGGCCTCAATGTTGCTTCAAGTTTATGAACACAACAAAAAACCACAAACAAAACTTGCCTGTAAAGACAATTATGAAAACTTTTTGTTACATGTAAAATACTTCCTGTACATGAGAAGGTCAAGTACCTGCTGGTTCTTGAACAGTTCTATTGATAATACTAGAAGCGTTAGAGAGCATAAACTCGTGCGACCACCAGTAAAAAATTACTATGGGAAAAAAACCAACAAATGTTTGATCCCCACAATTTTTAATGATCTCGATTGGCTGAGAGAAGATAATACTAGAATAAATAAACAAACATTAAAAAATACATTGAAAACTGTTTTCCTTAACGAAGTTGTTGCGAGATGTGAAAAAGTAAATCCTAATATTAGTAGTAGTTTCTATAGGTCAAATGTTAGTAATTCTTAATAATAGTAGTAGTTTTTTAATAATAGGCTAAATTTTAGTAAATATTTCTTAATAATAGTTCAATACCTGTTTTAAAATTTAAAACTTATTTACACTATTTTATTTTCAT